TATAGTGCTATAGATACTTGCACCACTTCTACAATTTTGGTCCATCATACCAGATCAATCTGGCTAATCTATTATAGATAAGAAAGAGACAGTAGGAGAACAACCTACTGAAGCACTGAAATTTAAAGCACAAGTTTTAATAGGAAAAATAATTTGGACTATCACAAATTTGAGACTAACCTATTCTTCTTCGTGGTTGCCCTGGCGGTCCAGGTGGCAGCAGAGCATCAAGTTGGCTTACCAGTAAGTTGGAAATACTGTAACCAAATAACAATGTTGAGAACCGTATAAGGCATAGAATGTCCATTCTGGGCAGAGTATAAGCCAACCATTCTATTGTTTAACCGTGTTTAGTGGAGCCTTGATCATTACCAAACAGTGTAGAAACAAAGAAAATTATTTTTAGAAAAGAAAAAAAGTGAAGATCAACTGCTTCTGGGCCACAGACCAATCGTACCTTACTTCACTTTCCGAAAGCTCTTTTGCACGAGTGTACAATACCTTAAGTTTCGATAATGAGCTATCCCCAGGCTTCTCAACCACCTCAGGAGCTGCATTAGCTTGGGAAAAAACCATCAACAAACAGCAACAGCAGTATTTTTTGTACCACAGAGAGATAACACATAGGAAAATAGGAACTCATATCAGGCAGTTTTACTTCTGACCACTAGAAAACTTAAAAACTACCAACAAACTAATCTCTTTCATTAACACTAATTAATTCTTACTATTACCCACTCAACAAAACAGAGAAGACCAAGGTCCTACGCCCTAAATATGGAGACAATCAGATGCTTGTAGCAGCATGAAAAGTGTGGAGGACATAAAAAATTATAGACGTCCAAGGATGTAAAGAATCTTCTTGGAGCAGCGATGAGAGAGTAGCGAGGCTAGATTAATATTATTACAAGGCGAACTTATTTCTTGCTTACTAGGCAAAGAGTGGATTAAATAGTATCTCCAGGGAATAAGGCATATAGTATCATGTTGCTTCCACCGTCTGATATTTTTCTACGTCTATAGATTGATGAGATAGCATGTAGTTTTAGAGCAATGACAGAATCACTGGGAAATAACTGTAAGAGTAGTGAAAACAAGTAGTCTAACAGCAAGAGTATTCGATTTGTTAAATTTGAGCCATTCCAGTCTATAAACTCAAATGACTGACAATAATCTCTCCGATATCAGACAAAGTTAAAATAGACGAGTGGCAACTAACTCTCAAGTCAGAACGTTAGGAACATTCTTCTATTGAATTGGCCAAAATCACAGTAGGAATTGTTCTTTTCTGATTTCATTTAACTTAAACAGTGATCCTAATTCAAAAACTGAAAGTTCAATGGGAAGTAAAAACTTCCCCTAGCTTTCCAGTTTAATTATCTAAACGTCACTCCCGCACCATAACTACCAAATTATCCTAAAAGATGGTAAATTTACTACGTAAATCTATGTCTTTGGAACTAACCTAGGTAAGAATAACTGAAATTTAAGCCAGTTCCAACTATGAACAGCTCAAAACAGCTTTAGGGGGGGGGGGGACAAACCAACAACAAGCTAAGATCGCATTAATTTACTAGCAATGTGACAACAATTACATCATCAATAACACGCAAAAAAACAAATTTAAACGACAAAACAAGTAAAGTCTAGAGAAGCATCAAGACGGAGCATTAAAAATAGCAATGATAGAGAAACATACTTGTTTGAAGCTTCTTGTGCATCTTGTTGATCTCGATGAGCACCTCCTCTTGCTCTTTCCTTAACTGATCCAGCTCTTTCGAATTGTCCAAGATGCCAGCAATGTCCGGTGACGACATCGTTACTCTCTCGACAATCGAAGTTCGATTCTGCCTACAATTTTTTTGGTCCTACGTCCAATTACCTCGAGAATGGAATTTGACCGAACATAAAGAATAATGCAGCGTTAATGGAATTTTCGTTCAGACTGTGATTAACCCACAAAAACACATCCTGTATTACTAAGAACGCAAGAAGATAGCAGGACGATCGTATTTGCCTCTTTGGTTAATCGGGAAAGTAACGAAGTGACGTCGTTTTTCCGTTTCGCGAAAGCTTGGGTCGTTTGATCCCGGCCGGATACGGAAATTAACAATGATTGCCTCTGAATAATCAGTTTTTTACCATATTTAAAAATAATAATTATAATCTGTTGGATCAAAATTTGTATGACACGCGGGAGTCAAGAATCAAGATGTCCCAGCCTCCCCGCCCGAGTGCAACCATTTTCTAAATATATTTTTCAACGAAAAAAATGATAATTTAAAAAATTAGCATAAATCATCCTTATTTTAACATTTAAACGTAAGAATTAAAATGTGCATATGAGTAATAAAACAGATAAAAATGAAGGAACGCATCACATACTAAAATATATGAAGAATATTTTTTTTAAAAAATTGCATGGGATCTAAAGAATTCATACGCCTTCCTATAAATTTTTAAATAGTTTTTATGGTAAATAGTAAGATAATTATGATTACTAAAAAATGCATCATTACTAGTACCAAAATTTTGAGCCGTGTTAGGAGAAGAAAAAAATGTGCCCACGAAACTAATATGTTTTTTATCTGGGCATTAGAGCCCGTAATACGGTTAGATCTGTTGGTCTAACCTACTAATCCACTAGAAATGAGAAGTTAAAATTGGCTAAAAGTCAACCTGCCAGTAAATAAAGCTTTTCAATCCGTGCCATCTTGCCCACAACCCGTTGGGGGTTAACCCTCATTTTTTTTGTATTTTTAAAATTTTAGTAATCATTATATGTATATTATTATATTATATATTCTATCTAAAAATTTAAAAAATACATATATCATTTATTTATTTAGTGTTTTTAATCAAGTATTTGAAGAAATGATAAAAATTTCATTGTATTTTTTTATATTGTATAAGGGAAGATGTTAAAAGAATGAAAATAATAATACTCCTTCGGTCCTTAATATAGGCCCAATTGTTAAGTTGGTTTTGATCTTAAATATAAGACCCATTTTTCATATTTATCAATTTTCTCTAAATTATCCCTCTGAACACTCCCTCAACGATAATCAAATAGAAGAGAGAAGAGGGTATTAAGAAAGATGATTATGGTATTTTAGGAAAAACGTGTCAAATTTCTTATAATTAACTAACTTACCTAACTTTTTTAATCTAATCAAATTAGTTAAATGGGTCTTATATTAAAGACCGGAGGAGTAATAGTAATAGTTAATGGGTTGGCCAACACATCATGACAAGTTAGGATTGGCTAAAAACTAACCAGCCATTACACATAGCCCTTTTAAACTGCACTACCTAACTCTAACCTGTAATGGGTTGACCCGTATTACTATCTTTACTGGACATGCCGAGGATAGGACTATGTTTGAATCTTGAAAGAGATTTTTTATTTTTTAGGAGGAAAAAAGCCGCTTTTTTCTTTGGGTGTGCTCTCAGAACCTCAATATATAACCTATAAGTTAAATCTAGTGAAAAAAAATTAATTTTTCGCAATGAAACAAATTAAAATTTGAATTATCAAGAAGTATCTGTATTTAATATCCAACACACTTCAAATGCAATTATCTCCAATCAAAAAATATTGTCCTAACAAACAAAATCTCAAATATATATTGGTGAGGCACTTTCTAAGCGAAAATGAAAATTTCAGAGCAATGTAATAAGTTGATTATAGTTTATGACCAAAATGATTCGAAATTTTAATAAAGGACTATTTGCACTTAACAATTACAATATTAGCCAAAGAAGCTTTTCAATTTTAAGAAATCTGTTTCGAATGAATGAGAATTTGAAGAAAGGGTTTAAAGTTTATGTTTGAACTCTGAACTGCGGAATTTGCAACCTGGATCTCAAAGTACCCTAATCCCTGCAGTATGTTGTGGGACCACGGTGTTTGTTTCCTACGATATTTTATGAAATAGTACCTTAGAATATGAATACTAGTATAAAAATTTGTTTGAGTTTTGTTTTTTTATTATAAATATAAAATTTCAATTTATTTTGTCTCTCATATTTATTTATTTTTTTAAAGTAGTATTTATAATTATAATAATTTTAATTAATATACTTGATTAGCAAACATATTTAAAAAAAAACAATCCTTATTTATTATAAAAAATTAATTTTATTAGTTTTTTTAATTTACTCAAATTAATATAAATAACTAAGAATGAGAGGCACTATCCAGGAATCAAATAAGGGGCGTTGCACGTATGCGATATCGGCACGAGGCCACAGTGACAATGTCCACAAAGTGGCAAAAGCGTGAACAGTAAATGACAGCCGGCAAATAACATCAGAAAGCTCTCACCAAGAGCCTCGCTCATCACTTCCGCATCAATGCAGATTCATATGTACTCAGCAGTTTTATTATAAATTTTAAATGATTAATTTATGAACAATTAAAAAAAAAGATAAAATTAGTTAAGAATAATAACTAGACAAGACACATAATAATGAGTAAAATAAAAAAACTGCATTTAATATTAAAACAAGTTTAAATTAAAGCTTATAAAATAAATCACATTTTTATGAAGTTTGGTAAATGATGCCGTGTCGGGGGTAATAATAAGGGAGAATGATAAAAAAAAGTTAGAAAATTACAAATCTCAAATCAGATTTGATAATACAACTTTATTTAGTATTAACAAGTTTGAATTTATAAATGACAATAACTTTTTGTTTAACATTTACAAAATTCTATCTTCTTTTTTCGTTGTTGTCCCTAATAATAATAATATATTATTATTATTGATATTGATGGGTAAAAACGGTGGTTCCATCTGCGTGGGCCAAATTTCATTTTCTCGGCCTCATCGACTATGCATGCCGGCCGATTCGACAGAGATTTGGCGCCTTTCGCCATATCACATACTAACTAACAGACAGCAAATTAATGGCGGATTCATGTACATCGGTTACTTCCCACACCGATCAATCCCATTCTTCCTCTCATCATCTTCTTCTCTCCTGTCTGGCCAGCCTCTGCAACAACCCTTTCAGTGTTCGTGTAACCGTTTCAGTTGGTACGCACTACCGCTCCTGTTCATACTTCTGAAAATCCATACGGGCATTCCGCATTTTGCTTGAATTTAGACCCACTCATTTGCATGCTTTTGCTGAATTTTTCAATACTGGCTCTGTAGATTCAGATTGGTAATTAAATATCTAAATAACACTATCTCATGACTCTCATCGTGGGATGTGAATATTTGTTAAAGTCGAGTGATAGTATTGAGATTATAGCTTGTTGCTTTAAAGTATCATGATTTATATCGCGTTTGCTCTGAGTCAGCTGATAAGCGTTACTTTTTGGGGGTTGAATATTCAGGCTATACATTTGAAAGAAAAGCACCGGCACATTCAGGCAGAGCGTGCCATTGGCGTTGCATATTGCTTTTAAGCAATTTTGAGTCATAAGAAATTGATCACAATGGGAAGTCCCTTACGCAGGTATATGGAATACTCGAGCGTTACCTTCTGTACTGCCCCTCTTCACGCTCACGCAAAATAAAAGAGACAGAAGAAAATTTCATTGACCTTTTTAATATATTTCCATTTGCCCTGCAGTGGAAAAATCAGAAAGTCTAATGAGACAATGAGGTTCACTGTAACAGTTTTTCTTGGAGTTGTTTTTGGCTTCCTTCTGGGAATTTCGTTTCCAACACTCTCATTAGCTAAGGTGTATAACCTTCCGCAACAATACTATGTTTTATGTCAAGTGTTCTCGCTAGAATTAACAGTTTTTGTCTAATTGTCAGATAAATCTCCCCTCTGGCCTTTTCCCATCAATTGATCTCACAAAGATTGAGGACGACGATTATTCAACTATTTCAACCAAGGGAATTTGGGATGCATGGGTTTCTTTTAGCCGCGACAGAAGCAATTTCAATGGAATTCAAAAATATGACGAGGCCAATGTACTATTCTCTGCTCTAGTTTGATAGTTCTTGTGTGGTGCAGAGGTTTAAATGCTGTTCGAAGTTATTGAGCTCATGACTGACTCGGTACACTTGGTCACGATACAGATATGGGTTCCCACAAATCCTCGAGGGGCTGAAAGGTTACCCCCCGATATAGTCAGACCCGAGTCAGATCTTCATCTTCGTCGGTTATGGGGTCCGCCCGTGGAGGTGTGCTTCTTCTTCTTCTTCTTCCTCTTTGATGCTATCTTCATTACTCTTTACCATAAAAGATGCATTGGATTCAGCAGTGAGATTTGCCCTGTGATTCGATGTTACACTTTTTTCTCCTCTTTAATGTCTCTTCGGCTGATGGAAGTGACACTTGCAGGACCTAATCATCGAACCAAGGTACCTTGTAACTTTCACTGTTGGTTATGGTCAGAAAGACAATGTTGATGCTGCAGTGAAAAAGGTAATTTCAGTTCCTGCCCCGCCTCACTCTGTTTCTTCATCCCTCTTCCTAACTGTGTTCTCTGTTCGTTTTACTCTCTTTAAATTTTCAACTTCAAAATTTCAGTTCTCCAAGAACTTCACTATTGTTTTGTTTCACTATGACGGTCGGACTAGTGAGTGGGACCAGTTTGAATGGTCAAAACGGGCAATCCATATAAGTGCTCCGAAGCAATCTAAATGGTTGGTCCTATTTTCTTCATTTTGTTTCTTACCAAGCCTTTTTCATTACGTTTTGACTTTTGAGTTCTGAGATAAACATCCTGAAATTTGATTCAAGGTGGTTTGCTAAACGCTTTCTGCATCCTGACATCGTGGCACCCTATGACTACATCTTCATTTGGGACGAGGATCTGGGCGTGGAGCATTTTGATGCAGAGGAGTAAGCATCAAAACCATAATATTGAGTGTAATTCAGGGTACGGTGAATATTTTTCAGCTTCGACCTCTTTATTACAGGTACCTGAAAATGGTTAGGAAACATGGTTTAGAGGTCTCACAGCCTGGTCTAGAGCCGGATAGGGATATAACGTGGCAGATGACAAAGAGAAGAGATGATGGCGAAGTCCACAAGTTAGTAAAAGCTCTCTAACACGTTCCCATTTCTAACTGGTAGCCATGGCTGATTATACTTTTATGATTATTCCTTCTCTCAGGGATGCTGTGGAGCGAGATGGTTGGTGTCCCGATCCGCATTTGCCACCCTGTGCTGCGTATGTGAGCATAATGACCTGAACCTGTCTTCCTGTTTCTGCATATGATTTTGTGTGTGTCTGTGTGAGTGTGTCTGTGACAATGATTTTTGAAATACTCAGATTTGTCGAGATCATGGCGCCTGTATTCTCCAGGGATGCATGGCGCTGTGTGTGGCATATGATACAGGTATAAAGAATGCATAATTATATCTTGTGTCTTATTTTTCACTTCATCCTCAACCCATATCTCACTTTTTTTTGACCTCCTGAGTTGCAGAATGACCTAATTCATGGATGGGGTATTGATTTCGCTCTCAGAAGATGTGTGGAGGTTATTACTGTGCCTTTCTTTCTTTCTTTCTCTTAAAAAAAAAAAAAACCTGGTAGTTTTTATAACTAGATCTTCTGATATTGTTCTGGTGGGAAGCAGCCTCCCCATCAGAAAATAGGAGTTGTAGATACTCAATGGATTGTCCATCAGGGCATTCCTTCACTTGGGGACCAGGTAATTAAGCCCTTCTAAGTCTGAACTATTTTTGGTAGTACACACTGTCTTTTATAGCAGTTCTTGGTTTCTTGCCACAGGGGCAGGCACAGGACGGGAAGGCACCATGGGAAGGGGTTTGTGATAAACTTCCCTGTTTCACAAGTTTTATCTTTTAACAATTAATATTAAATTTACAACTATGTGGAAGATTGATGTCTGATTTCCACCTGCATCAGGTGAGAGAGAGGTGTCATGCAGAATGGGCAATATTCAGAGACAGAATGATCAATGCAGAGATGGACTATTTTCAGGCATTGCAAACTGGTTTCTCTAACTCCTCAGCTGGGTAGGGTCACTTACCAATGTCCTAACAAACAAAGTGAGTTTAGCTTTTTAGAATTTCTACTGGGTAGTCATTCTTGGCTTGACCTGGTAGCTTGAGCAGCAATTTTTAGGGATTCCCTAGTGCACTCTTACATGTTGACGGGGTGTTTGAATAGAAACCAAACCATGGTTTCAAAAGTGTTTTTACAGTTTACGAAGCAAATATGTGGAGGAATTTGTCTCGTTTTGCAGAAAAGTGTTTCTGAAACTATGATTTGGAGGTTGCCAAACACCCCCAACAACAGGAAGCTGCATGTATGTATGCATCAATGTTGGTGGTAATGTTAGCGTCGTAGTTTGAAAATTAAAAAGGCGTGGCATGCGAGATAACCCAAGTCTCACATTGAATAGGAACAATATTGAATTATATTACAAATAATATCAACTATTTAATAAAGTTTAGCTTTCTTGGTGTCGTGATGATAAATTCTGAAGATAATTTGAAAAAAAAAATCTAGGGAAAAAAATAAGGCACTATAATTAAGATCAAAACGAATTAGTTAAATAAAAGTCTTGTATTTAAGACGAAAAGCGCATCATATTGTTGCCATCTTTTATGTATATATGTTTCATATTTTATCTGTAGTATTTTCATATTGACAATGCCAGAGAGAAATGTCAAGTTAACTGTACAACTGATCTGATACGGACAACCACCAAAAATAAAACAAAAGGACTATACTTTTATTTTAGAAATATTCCTAAAATGATTATGGATATCTTAAAAGAATTATGGAGTAATAATCTTTTAAAACTGGTGTGGTTGTGGTATTATCCACTTTCCAATAATTAGTTTTAAATCCATCCATCAATATGGGTTGAGAGACTTTTTTTTTAAAAACCCAACATTGACTTGACGCTGAAAAAGCAATCTTACACCGGTTTTGAAATACTCCTCCGGTCCTTATTATAAGACCAATTTGACTTTTTATTTGGTCTTAATTATAAGACCCAATCCATTTTTTCTTTTATATTTATGCATTTTTTTCCAAAATAATTCTTCTAATAATGATAGTTTTAGCCAATATACTTAATTAGCAAAGATATTTTAGAAATAACAACACTTATTTATTATAAATAACCAACTTAATTTACTTCCTTAATCTCTTCAAATAAGTCAATTGGGTCTTATAATTAGGACAGGAGGAGTAGTATTATGTCATACTGCTCTACAATTTTTTTGGGGTAACTCGTATTCATTTGAAAATACTTTACGAAACCCAGAAAAAAAAAAAAACTTCAGCCCAAAAATCATGTGTTAACTTGGTTGCCTGGTTGGTGATAGGCTAATAGACAGTTAAATTTTCTAGGAAATGACGATATTCTGCCTGTTTTGTCTACTAAAAGCTTTATAATTTATTGGAAAGTCAAACCTCGCTTCTTTTTTTTTTTTTTTTTTATTTGCCAACGCAAACCTCGTATTTTTTTTCAATAATTAAAGAAGTAACTTACTAAAAGTTCAAGTAAGTTCTACCTATTTATTGTACATATAGAAGCTCATTATTAAAATATCTGTAACCAAAAATATATATAAAATAAAATTTAATTAATGCGGAATGAGTATTTTTGTTTTAAGTAGTTTTAGTATTATATTTAAAAATAATTAATTTTTAAATAAATTTAAACATGAAACAAACAATTATTTATCAACTTCATTACTGCTAGAAGTTTACTTCTTCTGTTCCTTATTATAAGAGACAAATAATCAAATTACGTTGATAAAAAAAATAGTTAAAATTAGTTGAGGACAATTAATATGTAAAAAGTATATGTTTTTTCTAACAATACCTCCACTAATAAGGAGAGAGAGTATGAGAGAGAATAATTAAATTATTAAAAGAAAGAGAAGTGGAGGGGAAGACAGTATGAGTAGGAAACAAAATAAATAAGGGTAAAATAGAAAATCAATATAAAAAAATAGAAACAATTTTTAAATATTTTTTATATATAAAAACATACCATAAACATCAAATTTCATAAGAAAGTGAGGGGGTAATACCCAACTTCTAAGGACTATCCAGTAAATTAATCACCTCCAAAGTCAAAACGACTTGTGGGAGTACGGAAAAATGTCAAAATGATTATCCGTATCCCGTCACCACGGAAAGCGCGGGTTGCAAAATAAGAATATAAATACCAATTCCCGCGCTCCCATCTTCCTAATTTTTGAACTCCTCATCTCTTCCTCCGTTACTGGATTTTGGGATTTGGCCGGACAATTTTCCTGTACGGTATGGGTTCGGCCGCACGGTATCGGGAAGATGAAGACTGGGAGCTCTACAGCGACGATGGTTTTGTGTTCAAGTGCAAGAAGCGACGTCTTGAACCCCCAGCAACAGTGCCTCATTCCGCATTTCCTAAAGACGCGGATCAGTTTCAGGACGCAGCACAGAAGCAGAGGAGAGAGCGAAAGAGGAACATCCTCTTGAAGATGAAAACTAGGTACCTCACAGAGCTGCATCACTGGGATTTCTTGTCCGCCGCATTGCGCGCGCTGGAAGAGAACGCCCTTGAGTATAGAAGGCAACAAGAGCAGGCGAGGCTTTTACCTGTAGATTCTGTTGGTAAATCTGTAGTTGATGAGGTTCTTTTGGAGGTAATCTTACACTTTCACTGCGGATGCGTGATTCTAATTTGTGATCTTACCAGTACTGAATCATGGTAAATTGCTGAAAATGAGAATTGGAAACTGGGGCTCTTGATTTGCAATTTAAAGGAGATGAAGAAATATGAAGAAATTAAGTCCCAGCTGAATATATTTCTCTCTCCGATTAATTGGGCATAGATGTTTTTTTATGTTTGTTGAACTCGATTTTTTTCTTTAATTGTCGAAATCCAATACTATTGCCAGGGTCTACCTAGTGGATCCATTTCCTGATTATATCGTTGAGAAACTGTAGGCGAAAGCCAATCCCTCTTCAAGAAACTCGACTTGGAAATCTTTTGAACTTCTTGTCCATCCACCTGATAGCTTGACTTGCAGTACCCCCCTCCCAGACTATCATTGTCTTGTATTGAAAACTTCCGCTAATTGTTGACGAACTTGTACGGCCCTTGATTAAAGGTGAACGTGTGTGTAGTGTGCGCCATTGTCCCAGCTAATATTTTCTAACTTGTTATCCTTCAAAACTACCTTAATTATCTAAGCTGCTAAATTCTATGGCCCTAAAATAATCACAAATCATAACTCTATCTTGCTTATGATCCCGTACCTATTCCTCCATTCATCTCATCTTTTTTTTTTTTTGGCTTTCATTGGATTTATATTTGCCTTTGATGCTTAGCTTAACCCAGCGCCTATATAGCACGAGAGGTGCTATGGCGCCAAGGCAAGTGTGCCTTTAATAACTTTGAGAGCCCCAGTTTAGTGCACAAATTTATTTTCTAGTTATAATTGGAGAGAAATTTATCTCAAGCTAAGCTCGGAGATCACAGATTATAATAAGCTTTCAACATGCTAACCTTCCCCCCTGACCATACAGGTGCAAGCTCAAGAAGCGATAGTTCACAATATATCAAATTTATGCGACGAAGCGGAGGCAATGTGCCACAAACAAGAGCAGCAGTTTAAACAGACAGTATTTAATCTTCCAATCTGGGCTTCACCGGTTGAGCTCATGGAATTTCTGTGCTTATGTGATCATTAAACTAGTATTCACTCTGCACGTTCCTTTTGGTAATGGTTCGGATCTGAGACAGAGAGGACTGCCTTCTCCTGTTAAAAGATCTTGATCAGTTTCATTAATTGTGTGTTCTGATGTGATTATTCTGTGCACTGATGTCTTGTAGGCTCACCACCACTTTACCAAACTAGTAAATATTGTTAGTTTGACAATATTTAAACGAGCACTGATCTTTGGCCGGAGTCTTGCAACTGGAGGGAACATCTGCTGAATGAAAAGTAGGCAACAGTGAACTCCTCAAAAGGGTGAGAAGAAACTTTCCCTCAAGTCTTCAATGAAGAGCAAAGATCGAATTCTGTGGTACTCCCTCTGGTTCTAAATATAAAACTATTTTGTGGTGTAAATTTACACCATAAAATAGGTATTATATTTAGAACTGGAAAGAGTATTGTATATTAGCACTTTTTTAATTTTTGGCTAACTTTTAGGCATGCCTGTCATTTCTTATTGTATTTGAGCATGTATTTTAATAACTTTTAACAAAGTTACTGCAGCATATGTGTGTGTACTTAATTATTTATTGATTGAAGTTACTTCTACACTTTTCTCTTCTCAGCTCACTCGTCATGAAGTTCTTCAGAGCTGCAATTGTCCAGGTTTTTTATTTTGTGCTCTAGATAAGAGTTTATGACTAAGCAGAACAAATCCTCTGAGGGGAAAACATCTTTTCGCAATCAAGAGCAGCTTAAAAAAAAAAAAAAAGACTCTTATCTTGTTTGAAAGATCATGATGTATACAGTAAAATATGTTTCACTTGGATTGATTGATGAGACAACCTCAAACAAACAAAAGCTATATCAGTTGAATATGCAGGTGTGGTGAAAAAGAACCAGTTGTGCACTATAATCATTATATTGCCTTGTCTATTGCGTTATTTGAGGAACTGGTTTGGTAAAGTGTCTCTTAATAATTGATTTCCACCCTAATCTAAGTATTTAGTAATTAATAATTAATAATTATTCGCAAAATGATTAAAAGAAGCAAAAAAAATTCAAAAAAATCAGTTCAGCTATCAATGTACGCTCGATCTCTTCAAGGAGTGCTTAGATTACTGACAACAAAAATATATATATCGTCTCAGCTAGTTGCAAATGCAGCAGCCATGCCCATTCTCTTGTGTCTCACAGCACAGCCAACTTGACAAATGACAATGATGGTAATAATAATAATAAAAAGAATCGAATCCTTTAATTTTAATTAAAGGAGAAAGAAGTCACAAGCCCACAACATGTCTGTGTCGTGTCCAGAAACACATTATTATGATTTTGTCTCGATGCATTCTTGTCCCCGGCCGAAGGTGACGGGGTCCCCCCCATGATAAACCATGTTGCCTCTCTATTTTGGTGAAATTATGCTATATCTGCTCCCAAATCTAAAACTATATTTTTGAAATTTTAGGGTTCAAGATATAAATTACCTCATACTATTAAATATTCCTTCGGTACTTAATATAACACCTAATTATGGAGTTGATTTTAAATATAAGATCTATTTATCATATTTATCGGTCTCTCCTAAATCACTCCTATTAATACTCCCTCAATCATAATCAAGTGAAAAGAGGAGGGAAGATATTAAGAAAGATAATTATGGTATTTTAAAAAAAAAATATGTCATATTTATTATAATTAACTAATTATCTAACTTCCTTAATCTAATCAAATTAGTTAAATAAGCTTTATATTAAAGATAAGAGGAGTACTTACATTTAGGACGCACCCTTACTTGTCATTAATGCTTGTGTTGGGGAATCAACAAGAGGGAAGAACGTTACTTAAATAACACATGTTATGTGTGTTCATTATTATTATTATTAACACATCTCATCTACCAAAGGACATATAGAACTGCCATTGATCAATTCTGTGGGTTTTTTTTTTTGCCTGAAAATTTTGTGGGGTATAGAACAAGAAAATATGTTGATTAATAATGTTAGTAACAGCATCTCTCTCTCTCTCTCTCTCGCGTGTGGTGCGGGAGAGGGGAAGAAAATATATTACACAATAAGACCCATCACATCTATGATCTACCTCAGCCATTTTCCTTTTTTTTTTTTTTTCCCTTTCCCATACTGTTAAAGAATTGTAAATGTTTTTATTCCATGAAAAATAAGCTGTGAGACTGAGACCCATAACTGGTGAATAGTATGAATCAATGATCATCGTAAATTTTATCTTATTAATTCATAATGATTTATATTAAAAAACTTTAATCATTACCTGAATTATTAAACTGTGGGCTTCTTATCTTAATCTTATCCTCAATAATTCTAGATAAAATTTAAAATTAATATTCTAACTTGTGAAAGAAATTCTTATTATTTTGTTATACTAGTGAATAATGGATATTTATATAGATTTTATAAAGAGATATTTTATGCATACAAGGATTGAAAAGTGTTTTAATTAATTATTAATATAGTTGGTATGATTTATAAAATGTTAATAGAAGAAGGGAAATTGATGGGACAGCGGGAAGTGCAATTTATTTATTTATTACCTCATAAGTATGGCTGCCGACAGGGCATGGGGATTTCATATGGTCAACGGTCTCAACAATTCTGTCACACACTTTTTCTCAAAAATTTACTTTAACGTTTCTAAGCAAAATACAACTATTCATGCAAAAGTAATTTTAAAAAAAAAATTGGGCAAGCAAATCACATGTCAATAGTTTTCGTATTTCAAACTTTTTTACATATACTTTGAATTTCTCATTTTATATTCTCTCACATAAACACATCACAAGGTTGAAGCTTGGGAATACTGTAGTTACTTGTGCATTTTACACCCTTTATATTTTTTTGAAAATAAAAAATATTTTATTTGCTTAATTATGATTTTTTTCCCGGCGGTTTGGGAAGAAACGTCCACGGAATTTGGCAGACTTTTATGACAATTGAACTTCATTCTTTTCTCCAAAATATTTTTACCCATTAGTGTCGACTTGTTGCATGGAAATTAATAAACTTTTCAGTACCATAAAAGATTTACCTAATTTCGTGAATCGCCCATCGATCCCTTTAGAGTTTAAATTGCAATTGAAGATCATTGACCAACCGATCATTCGGCAATCAATTTATATGGATTGGGCAATCAATTATTGACGCAGGCTTATAACTGATCATTCTCTTCATGGCGCCTATATTCGCCTCAAAACAGTACTGTGGTTAAATTATTCATCAATTCTTAATTCCGAAACTAAACCCGGTGCACACTGTTTCTGACAGAGACTCAAATCCTTCCGCGGTTACGCTATGTTAATTTATAAGGATATCAAAACGAAGACAAGAACAGGAGAGATTCAATGCGCGGAAGAAGAAAATTGCATTTTGGAAAAGAAAAGAAAATCAAAAAGAAATCTTTAGCCCACCACATATCTATCTACCACCTTCTTTTTCCAACTCTCAATCTGGGTCGTTGAGCTTCGGTGTCTCTTTCAACCTTCCATATAAGCTCTCCTTCACCCTTATCTCTTTCCTCGATTGCTCTCTGTCCAAAAATTTTTTTTGTATCGTCCTGCTGCTGACAGAGCTTGCTGGATCTTTGATTTGTTTTTAATGCTTATTCTAAGTACTGGGTTTGTTGGTGAGTGCCTCTAAACATGTGGGGTTTTATTCCTTGCCTTCCTAACTAGGGCACATGTTGATATTTTTTTAATATTCTGAGAGCGTGATTTTGGGGATAGGTCTTATTGGCCCTATAGGGAAAGCTTCCCGGGGTACGAACTTGTACATTTCTCTTGTCAAACCCAAAAATGATGGCTTCCTTCCATTATCATGGAGCTCCAATTCATTTTTCACGGTCTTGAATTGTGAGTCTAGTTCATGTGTGTAATGCAGAGACGGGTATGCTTTGTTTGTTATAAGTGTGTGTAGTGTGCTGCTTGCCAGTTCACATATTTTCGAGTGAGTCAAATGGGATCTGGCAATGAGGTTCACTCGATTGGTGAATTCAATTTAGATGCTCAGTGGTTGATAGATCCCAAGCAATTATTTGTTGGACCAAAAATTGGAGAAGGCGCGCATGCCAAAGTGTACGAAGGAAAGTAAGTCAAACTCTCCTTTGGTTTTCGTTTCTGTTTGAGGACTCAAATATGATTTTTGAATCCCTCTGCCAAGAAAATTTCCCTTACTGTTTTTGAGAATTGTTTCGAAATTTGTTTTGATTTATAAGCCCGCTTTGTCTTGCTCCTCCTTTTGCGGCACTAATCTCATACCTAGATTTGTTATCATATCACAGCCACAGTTTGTACGGCTTCTCTTTTACATATTCTGCATCCACATGATCTGATTATTTGGTGGTTTGGTTCCTTATTACTGTGGGATTTCTTGATTGCAGATATAAAAACCAGAATGTTGCAGTTAAGATTATTAATAAGGGAGAAACCCCAGAAGAGATCTCAAGGAGAGAGGCTCGGTTTGCCAGAGAGGTTGCGATGTTATCGAAAGTTCAACACAAAAATCTTGTCAAGGTTGTTGATTTGTTATCCGAGAACCTAAACACTAATTCTTTCAATTAAAAGTTGATAAGTATTAACTGGGATGGGTAATAGACTGATAATTAAGGTGAACTGGATCTTAAAATCATGCCAAGCTTGTTGAGCTAGCCAGCTAGGCATCAAACTTATCTCACTAAAGCGTCTATTTGTGGTTGATGCTAGTTTATCGGTGCCTGCAAAGAACCTGTTATGGTTATAGTGACTGAGCTTCTATTAGGTGGAACACTACGCAAATTTCTCTTGAATATGCGGCCAAAGTGCTTGGATATGCACGTGGCAGTTGGATTTGCTCTTGATATTGCTCGAGCAATGGAATGTTTACATTCCCATGGGATCATTCACCGTGATCTTAAACCTGGTATGCCTCCATGCACGCCTTGCTTTTAAATCAGTCTGTTTTTGCTGATAGGACAGTATAGAAAAGGTTGAAAACTTGCCGTAGTTTGATTCAGTGAGTATTTGAATCCTGAGTAAGATACAGGTGCTGTTGTCACATGATATGGACAACTGACCTTAGCTAGACCTTTTAAGAAACTGAAATATGACTTTTTATCTTTATTGGTTGGCATGTACCATGGATTATTTGATCTCTGATCTCTATCCAAAAGGTAAAGCACAAAAAGACTTTGTGTACTAATTACTCTCATCTCATATAATCAGTGCCAAGTCATTGTTGACTGTTGATCTGAAAAGTTCAAGCTCACTCCCTTGCTTCAGTTATGAGTTCTCTTTGCCTCTAGTTCTTATGAAGATCATGATGATCAAATGGACCTTTGTTTGCAACGAATGCATGTTCAGTGCTTGTCTCTTGTTATTTCTGGAATTATCTGTTATCTGGTTTTAGCATAATCCCAGAATAGCAAATATTTTAAGTTCCACATTGAAACCCAGCTTCTATTTAGTTATAGACCTCTGGTTTTAATTCACTTGAGAGTAGATGCCTATATAATGATGTGAGAAATAGGACATCTCAATAACACGACTCTCAATCTCACTTCTAGTTGAATGGTAAATAAGCAACGATAATTCTGATGGCGTTTTTGCTACTTGCCTTCCAGAGAACTTGATCTTGACAGCAGATCATAAAACAGTAAAACTTGCTGATTTTGGTTTAGCCAGAGAAGAGTCATTAACAGAGATGATGACTGCTGAAACTGGGACATATCGCTGGATGGCTCCCGAAGTAATTCCTTCTGGAAAATTTAAAAAAGATATTGATTTTCCATTTGGGTGATTCTCATTAGAAAAGTTCTCATTACTTTCATGTTTTAATGGCAGCTTTACAGCACCGTCACTCTGAGACAAGGCGAGAAGAAGCATTATAATCATAAGGTGGATGCTTATAGTTTTGCAATTGTCTTATGGGAGCTCATCCATAACAAGTTGCCATTTGAAGGCATGTCTAATCTACAGGCAGCATATGCAGCTGCTTTTAAGGTACATTATTCTAGTGCTCACTTAAAATGATTTGAAAACTTCATTAGTAAAACAGACACGGAAAAAATTGCTTTTTTTTTTTTTTTTGATATGGGATGTTTACTTCGCCGTTTCAGAATGTAAGGCCAAGTGCTGATGACCTTCCTGAGGATTTAGCTCTGATTGTGACTTCATGTTGGAAAGAGGATCCAAATGATCGACCGAATTTTAGTCAAATAATACAGATGCTTCTCCGGTATCTCTCCACTATTTCGCCGCCAGAGCCTGTTGTTCTTCCGCGAATCGCTTCATCTGAGAATGCTGTACTGCCACCAGAATCTCCTGGTACAAGTGCTTTAATGTCCAGAAGAGATGACTCTGGAGAAACGCCAAAAGAAGGTGACATGGAAGACAGGCCTAAAGGTTTTTTCTTCTGCTTTAACCAGTGCTACTGATGGATCAAAAGACATGATTTCGCCATTGGGGACATCATAAATCACAGTTAGGCAACCTGAATAAATCAGATTCACCAAATATTACCACTAGGTTCTTAATAAAAGAAAATGTTAACTATCACCAGATACTTAAGTTTCGTGGCAATTAGCAACTGGGAAGGTACCATGCATCCATGTCCAATCAAAGCATTGCATGTTCTGTATCTTTTAACATTAAGTTCTCTTACTTCTGACTGATATCAAAGGACACTCTAAAAAGTTTTGGGGTTGAGGTTGCTGAGATGTAATACTATTGTAAAATAAGGTTCATCCAAAGGCCTTCACCTGCTGTTTATATATGTAATTTCGGCATGGTTAATTTAAGTTAAAAAAGATAGGACAAAGCTTTTTTTGGCATCCAGGTTTTTCGATAATTCTGAGAGTCATTTTTGTAACCATACAATAAGAAGATAGATCAATTCTAGAATCACGTGACGTTTTCTAGATTAATAAGTGAAAAATATGAACTATCCGGTGATGCATCTTTCAGGGGCTAATCTAATCAAGCTTCAGTGAGTATCATTCCAATTCGATTGATTTCTTTGTGGTAATGGAAAGAATGGTTATTGTATCTTCCAGTTTCAAGATCGTGTTACAGCTCCGTTTAATTTAAGTATTCAAACTGTTTTAACCAAAAAAAAAAAAAACAAAAACTTATTGTGATTTGAATCATTTGTTATTGGAGATAGCTCTTAAACTGACCAGTTTGACAACCTTCCGACACCCATCATATATTTTTCATTATGATCCATTGGTCTATATCCACATTTCTTTTACTGTAGGCCGCATATCTTTCCAATTTCTATAGAGGTAAGAGGAAGATTTGCAGACGCCTCGCGGGTTGCGAGAATTTCCAGTCGAAGAACAATACGGACAGCTCTCATGGGATTAAAAAGAAGAAGAAGAAATTAAATCGAAATAATAAAATGAAGGGTAGAAACAGCTTTTGAGTCGTTTGTGTTACCGACGAATGAAAAGGAGCATCTCTATCGGATCTGCCGCGGGCAACTGGGAAGTGTAAACTGCGGTAGAACTAGAAGTCGCGTGGATTGAAAAAAGGAAGGACAAAGCGAAAATGATATCGCCGTTGCCGGGGATCGAACCCGGGTCGCCCGCGTGACAGGCGGGAATACTCACCACTATACTACAACGACCTGTTAAGAAGCCGGTTCAGTAGTGTTAATATCATCTTAATTAAAATTAGATGGAATGACACGACGCCCACTTGCATTTGCCCGCCTGTCGAATGGGAAATGATGAGGGGCAAAATGGAGAATGAAGTAATCTTAAGGAGCAACGTTCATCTGTTTGTCTTGGCCAGCAAGTCAGTACTGTCCCCACTTAAATTTACCAAAATGACATTTTAATCAGACGCATTTCCGATAATGACACTACTCGGTTTCCTAAGCTCCATCTGCCCGACAGCCGTCCACAAAGGCCCCAATGTTACACTCTCCGAAGCAAAGCCTCAACGAGGTTCGGTCAACGGTGGGTCCGTCCGAGCCTTGGCTTCAGTTCTGCTTCGAGGTTCCCTGGAACGAACGCTTTTAAAGCCGAGGCATAGCTGCGGATAACGAGTCTCATTGTGACGCGCTTCGTTTGTCCGAACCCAGTGAAGAGTTTTCCCGCCCACTTCCCACAGTGTCCTCGCGGGCCTCTCACTCACTTGCTTCCTTCTCCAAGCAAAAGGAAAGCTTAAATACGCGGAAGCTCCCTCCCTCTCACTCTCCTCGTCCCCCCCCCTCTCTCTAGAGTCTCGAATGCGATTTCGGTGTCATCTTCTAGTTCTTCGATAGTATGGCTAGGTGAGCTTAGGATTAGCAAAATGGTGAAATTTAATGATTAAAGAGATATTTCGCTGGTTACTGTTCCTCGCAGAAGCGTGCCGGCTTTGGATTTTGTTTCGTAGATTTTGTTCGATGTCAATGGGTTCGAGTCCTCTGGTTGTTTTGATGGATAACAATGAAGTCTTCTTCTCGGTGTTATCGGGGGTTGTTTTGGACACTGATGACGGAGGAAGATTTCCCTATTGAACACTTGATTTCCTCGTTGTTTTTGGGATAAACACTGCGTCTGGGTGTGAAATTAGATGGGTTTCGGTTTCTGGTTCTTGGGTTGAAGACTGATGATGGATGAATGGCCTGTTTTGCTTACAGCAATGTAGTTTGTGGACATTCTGACATCCTCATTCGGGTTTTCCTGATTCTTCCTTCTTGGAATCAGGCTAATAGCAGTTAGCAGCTAGTAATCCACCCATCCAAGTGACGTATTCCTTTTGTCTCATGTCCACCTTATGCTCCTCAAATTTAGACACCTAAAGCGCATTCTTTTTTCTGAAAAAACAAACAAAGGAAGTATCGAAACACAGATGACATTGCGCATCTTCCCTGGAGAATGTTTGCAGCATCTTCCCTGAGAATGTTTGCAGCATCTTCCCTGGAGAATGTTTGCAGCTCTTTTTTAAATCTGATAAATAAAAAATTGAATCTTGAAAATTTTATATGCAACGTATTTCTTAGCGCTTTTCTTCTTTCCCCACTCTTATGTCTCTTGGTTGGGGCTTTGGACCGATTCGTGGAAACCACAAGCCATTATAGCGTTTGTTCTTCAGAGATAAACTCAGTTTGATTCCTTATCATACGATAAGCGAAGTTTCACTCTCATTGAGGTTCCTTAGAAAATATAATCCCACCTATTCACAGGCAAACCATTTCATAGAGTCATTCTTTTGAATCGCTTTGTCCCTGCAACTTCTATGGTTTCTTAGCAGTCAACTTTTTGCATGTTTGTAGTTGCTTGTCTTGCCTTTGGTTTTTTTGTCAGCAAACAAGTTTTCATTTTTTATGTTTTCAACGTTCTTTCGCTATATAAAGTTATCGTGGTGGAATGTTGATCTAATAGATTATTTGTTTACCAGGAGCTGGCTTCTTGATGTCGGAGGGTTTGCCAAGAAAGTGAAAAGCAGTTCTCTGCCCTCAGCTGAGCAAATCAAAGACTGTGGGGCATATCGTGAATGTCCAAATTGTCATTGGCATATTGATAATAGTGATGTAAGCTGGAATTCAGCCTGATTATCATTCACAGTTTATTATTGGCTTTAGTATTAATATGTGCGTCCGTATGAAGGCAGAGGACTCTGCTCCTGTAGTAAAGCTCTTCATGTTTTTCTAGTATTTTCACTTGCTCTAACTTTTGTGACCTCTAATTTCTTCCTTTTAAGTAATATACTCTGTTAATCAAGAATTGACTTTTGCTAGTGCAGAAGTTTGAAAATTTTGCCATCATAGTTAAGTTCTGCAATCTATCTGACGAATGTTCAACGGGTTATGGATGTCTTAATACTGACACTACTTTCCCTTTGCAGGTTTTCCCTGAGTGGCCCGGCTTTCCCGCTGGGGTAAAATTTGATCCTTCTGATATAGAGCTCTTAGAACATTTAGCTGCAAAATGTGGCATCGGAAATGCAGAGCCCCACATGTTTATCAATGAGTTCATTTCAACGCTGGAGGGTGATGACGGTATTTGCTACACTCATCCAGAAAATCTTCCAGGTGAGGATTACTGAACTTAATTTTCAGACATGCAATCAGTTACGGTCCTGGTGAAATAAAGTTATTTCATCAAAACAGAAACATACAGGAAGTCTTTTCAAAAAAATTCTTACAGGCAATGGCGATAGGTGATGGTCTCTTGTAGGTTATGGAGAAAGGACAGAAGGAACATGTTATTGTAAAATCAGAATGCCCTTAACACTTCAGGACTCATGATTTTGACAATGACAGCTTACCATGAATAAAGAACAAATGAATGTCTAGCGTACTGAATTTTAAATTTTTGGGTACACATATGTTCAATAAGTTGGCAAGAGATATCTTGATTTCTTGTCCTTATTGCACCTGCAACTTTCCATGTGACTCCCAAACCTTATTAAAGTTTAAATAATAAATAGTGCTAGTTTGGTGGTTGTTTTAGATACATAACATCAAGGTTTTACCCTTACTTCATTTTAGGGGAGTGGGTGAAGTTTTATGATTACTGTTTACTAAACTTTACAAGTTATTGGCATCTTTGCTCGATCAGTTTGGCATTCCCTTTCTGCATGTTCTGACTGCTCAATTTTTTCCGGATTCTTGGCTCTGGCCAAGTCCAAACGAAATGCAACTTTTTGGAATCATGCTTAAAAAAATAATAATCTGTTTTTTTCAGGTGCTAAAAAAGATGGGAGTAGTGTCCATTTCTTTCATAGAACAATTAATGCCTATGCATGTGGTCAACGAAAGCGTCGAAAGATTCATCATCATCATGGTGCAACTGAGGACCATGTGCGGTGGCACAAGACTGGGAAGACCAAATCTGTGATGGGAGACGGCATACACAAAGGTTTTAAAAAGATCATGGTTCTTTATGTAAGACCTGAGAAAGGTTCAAAGCCGTATAAATCCAATTGGGTGATGCATCAATACCATCTGGGGACTGAAGAAGAGGAGAAGGAAGGTGAATATGTGGTCTCAAAGGTTTTTTATCAAAAGAAGCAGCTGGAGAAAAATGAGGAGAATCCATTGGTTGAAGAGTCAGATAATATGACATCACGAACAAGTCCAAGAACCCCAAACCCAAACCCCCGCAACCCACCTCGACCAGGAAATTCTGCTGACTGTGATGATAATTTTGATGAGAAAGTACATCTCTCATTCAACAGGGTAAGCACCAACATTTTTATATGACATTCATTTAGCTTAGGGTGATCATTTTGCTATAAAAAGGAAAAATAGAAATCAGATTTAATATTGTATCCAATAATCAAGCATACAATTTCACAATGCTATATATTTGGACTTTTAAGTAACAATTGATGGACATGTAAAAAAATTAGTGAAGCTATCTTGATTTTGTGTAAAGTTCATTTAAGTAGTACTTGAAGTGGAAAAAAATGGCCATAGGACAGATTTAGACTTGCTAAATTGACTGTATTTCACTCATTGGTTTGCTGTGATTTTTGTATGATGTTCAGGATGCTGAGTCTATCCCTGGAGAGCCAAGTGCCTTACCAACTGATGTCCGGGATGAGGATGATGCGAGTGGCCCCGCATGGTTGGCTGGTGAATCACAGGCTATTGAAACCTCTGACTTTGATGGTTTGGATGACATATTATTATGCAAGGAGATCTTAGGTTCCACTCAATTAAATGATTCGGGAATGAATCCCACCACAGTCAATGGCTTTGCCGGCGACACAAACTTGTCAGCCGGAAATGACAATGCATCCTTTGGAATCTCTGACCTGGATAACCTGGAATTGGGTACTCCCCCAGATTTCCAACTTTCTGTAAGCTCCCAATCACCCTCGCTCGCTTTGTTTCTAGAACATTCCAGTATACTAACATGCTATTTGATACTGATTTTGCTGGCAGAACTTGCAATTTTGTTCTCAAGACAGTATACTTGACTGGATAGACAGAATATGATATGCTTTATGAAGTTTCCCAGAACTGTTCTATCCACTTACCTCGATGGTATGCTCCTTTATATTCCTTGTTCAGTTCAGTTCGAATGATTTTTTTTTTTTTAATGGATACTACAAAGAAAGCATAAGAAGCTGACTTGTCATGATTTTATTCGCACGAGCAGAGACATTACTGGCTGCCTCAAGTTCGTGAACTCTTTCAGCTTCCAGCTCAGCCGACGCCGGAGTTTGAGCACTCTGCACGTCCGTAGTGTTCACATGAATCTGTAGTTGAATTTTTAACTCGTTATGTGAAAGCCATTGAAATGGCATGTTGATCTATGTTGTAATATATTTTGTGTTGTATGTATGTAAAGATTACCACCAAATTGGCTGAATATTACCAACTAAGCTTCTTTAATTGATAATATGGGAAATTGTGTGTTAAGTACATAGCAGTCTTTTATCATGGCTATGGAGAGACATTTCAAATTTTGAGTGCCTGAAAGCTTTTTCAGTTTTAAAAATCTCATGCATTCCTAGACCTGGGAGTCTTTGGAATGCATATTTGAATCACGATATTTATATAACCGAACTTTTCTGTGGTTCTGTGGTATGAGCTTTTAGCTAGGCTAAGATATTCATTTAGTCTTTTAACATTATGTAAAATTTCAGTTTAGTTTTTTTACTTTAAAAAGTATACTTTTGTTTTTTTAATCTTAAAATTGTTAGTTTTAAATGATAAATTTTTTAAACAATCATAATTGTTTTGAAAATTAAACTTAATATGTTAATATTTAGTAATATTTTATCAACATTTAAGAACTTTAATATTATTATTTTTTGTTAATAGTTTTAGAATTAAAGAACTAAAAGTTTATTTTTTAAAATTAAGAGACCAAAATAAAATTTTATATAAAGTTAAAGGATTAAGGGTGTGTTTGAATTAGCGATAGAGAAGTAACTTTTTTTTGCAATCTGACTTTTACAGAAGTCAGATTGAGTAAAAGTCAGATGGTAAATTATGATTTATGTTTGGATTGACTTTTGTAAAAAAGTCAGATTGAGAAATTGAAAGTTGTTTGGATGATTAATAAAAAAGTCAGTTTAGATGCAAAATGATTAAAAAGACATAAATTTTATTAAGTAATATATATTTAATATTAAATGTATATAATGTGACAATTATAAAGAAAATATTAAAAATAAAATTATTAGAAATAAAGAAATTAATTTATTATTATGAAGAAATTTAAAAAAAAATACTGAAATACTTAATTGAATATATTTAATGGATATATGTGTGTGTATATAAATCATTTGCCGTGGCTCTATTTTTCTCGTTTTTTCAAGAGGAGATATGTATGTGAAGGAAGGTTAAGAAGGCAAAGAATTTAAAGTGCAATAATAAATGCTCTCCAGTCTTCTCTGCACTGATGGTTTTCACCGTCAAAAGTAAGATGATGCAGCTTATGGAAAAAACTCATTTGAGCAGAAAAGTCAATTGCCAAATCGCTGAGCCAAATATCACCATTTCATAGAAGCTGGCTTTTACTGTTGAGAAGTCAGTTTGGGCTCTCAAACGTGATGCGAAACGCACCCTAAAAGTATGTTTTAGTCTTTTTACTTATGTTGGCAATCTTTTAATTATTATTATCCAGGAATAGTTTACCAACAAATTCCAACCTATGAACAATTACTTTGGATAACCCAAAAAAAAAAAACTAACAAAACTTTGTAAGCATATTTTTCTGGTGTTTGTAACCTATGCTTGTGATGGCGTTCTAGAACAGCAAAATGCACTCACCTCAAACATGCTTAGACCTCATTTGGCATTATGTTTGAAATTATTTATAAGTATATTTTATATAAATTGAAATAAAATTTTTTTGACATATTTCACATAGTTCCTTGGTATGAACTGTCAAAATTATTGGGGGTCTTTTGGATTGAGTTAATAAATGAGCAAAACCTAAAGAAAGTCATTTTACTGAATATCATGATTTCTCTAGGATTTCACGCATGACATGAAAAAGATGCAAATTAAATTAGCAAAAATTTAATAGATAAAGGGATTCAATTATTGAGAAGAACTGTTGACAAATGCCGGTGGAAAAATACATCTTGGTGTCACAATGAATTTTCGGGGTTATTATAAATGAAAATAAAAATAAAAAGAAAAAAGAAAATTTTCATTAGGTGCCTGGGTCCGTAGCTAAGGCCGGTTTTAGGCCCCTCTAGTGTCAAACCCAACCTAAAATCTAAAACCCTCAAACCGAACGGAGAAACCTCAACGCTGCTGGAAGGTGAAGCATGAAATCAATGAAAAGCAGAAGCTTGTAAACTAATTCACACAAAAAAGATCCTTAGCAGCCCAATGTTCGCTGCAAGAAATTTGCGGAGGCATTGCTTGAAGTTCGCATGCTCTATCCTCCAATCCAATCTCTCCCAGTATGTTTTTTTAGCTCTGTCTGTACTCTCCGTTTTTTTTTTTGTTTTTTTTTATTTTGGAGCTGCCAGAGTAGATAAGAGAAGTCACAGGGGTGTAATTCCGTCTCTTAGATAATAGAATTGGTTGAATTCACTATGACTCCCTTCGAAGCTCGGATTTTCATAGTAACAAGACCCATTTCTTGTCTTTCATTGGTCGGGTTTATCGGTTTTTGTATATAATCTGCGTGGCCAAATTCTTTTAGGTTGAATGAGCCTTTATCTTTCTTTTATTCAGACAAAGAAACGGATTTCGAATGATTTTTTCGCTGCGTCTGATCCCAGTTCATCAGCAATTGTTATACTTTTTTGTTTCGCGGACTTCTACTTGTAGCCTATCAAGTTTAACTCGGCCTTTCTTAGAAATTTAATATCGTTTAATATTATCTTTATGGTTTAAAAAAATGGTTCGATATATCATTTTCACTGATGTTGTTGCTGAAGTATTTGACTTTCTGGGCAGAATAAGATCCTGACGTGGTAACTCAAATCCAACTTAGTCCTATACCATCATATCTTGCTTTTTCTAATACCAAAAGATCATACTCTCTCATTTTCATTCGTGCTTGTACACTTTAAAAAGTATTGGAGTATTGGTCTGAAGGGAATTGAGTCTGAGTGCACATGTTGATTTATCTAGCTTAAAAGTTTCAGAATTTTTGTTTTTATTTCCATTGGAATTATGACAAAAAAGAATTTTCACTGTGTGACAAATCTATTTTCATACTGCTTCTCTTGTCTTGTTTGCCTTTATTCATTCAGCGTAAATCTAGAAAACTGCTCAATTGGTGTGCTTGATTTGCATCATGTGCTGTGAATTTCAACTTATAAAATTGCACAGTACTTGTATGGTTTTATCGTTCTGAGTAAAATGGAGTTCAGTAGCTTTAACTCTTCAAGCTTAAGAATAAAGCTGATTCTATTTATTTTTGCTTAGGAATGCCATATCGGGGCATACATCTCTGCATATATCAAGCAACATAATTCAGCCATACAACGAAGTTGCTTATCATTCTTATGTCAAGCCATCGAATTCATTCAATGTGTCATCCCGAGCAATGTCAACATCAAAAGGTAGAAGCATGCGGAGCAAGGTGGAAAGGCGAATGCAGAAAGAATCTGGTAAAACATTAAGGGAGATTCGTAGAGCTAAAAAATTGAAAAAGAAGCTAATGACTGAGGAGGAGAGGCTTATTTACAATCTCAAAAGAGTACGTTATATATTGAAAATGGGTTGTATCTATCCTAGCTCTTTTCACATAATCGTTCATTTGTCGCCTTCCTTCCTTCCAACTATTGCAGGCCAAGAAGAAGGTAGCATTGTTGCTGCAAAAACTCAAGAAATATGAGCTGCCAGAGTTGCCTTCTCCTCGACATGATCCTGAGCTATTAACAGCTGAACAGCTTCAGGCTTATAAAAAAATTGGATTCAGGAATAAAAATTATGTTCCAGTTGGTGTACGAGGAGTTTTTGGTGGGGTGGTGCAAAATATGCATCTGCACTGGAAGTTTCATGAGACTGTTCAGGTTTGTTGTGACAACTTCCCCAAGGAAAAAATCAAAGAAATGGCCACAATGCTTGCAAGATTGAGTGGTGGTATTGTGATAAATATTCATAATGTGAAAACGATTATCATGTTCCGAGGCAGAAACTATCGCCAGCCCAAAAATTTGATACCCATTAACACCCTTACAAAGAGGAAGGTAGGTTTGCAATATTTTGTATATTTATTTACTATTTGAGCAATACCACCCTATTTTGTCATGTTTAATTATGTCCCTACCTATTACATTAGAGATGATGATTTTTCTGCATTGCTTAAGTTGCCAAGAGGTTGGCTCCACGAGTATGAATTATTTGCTTTAGGATTGACATTATTGAACAATATGCAGTAAATTAGCATTGTTCATTACCCTGGAAAAGCCATGATGCTTGCCTAATTTTTAGTGTTTGTGATGATAAGATAGTCAATATGAAAGAAGTTTCTTAATAAATGTAGCGGCAAAAGCAGCTAGTTTTTAAACCATCCTTTACTTGAACCAAATAGGTGCCTAGGATAGTATGCTGCTGATTGATTAATCATGGAATAATTTAATTGAAAGGGTAATTCTGTGGAGAGCCCTACTTCTCAAGAGATGGAGCTTTCTTTCCTGGAGAGAGTTCAACCTCTTAAAGAGGAAAAGCTCTCCACAGAATTACCCCAAGTGAAATGATGATATTTTACGTAGCTGACTAATAAACATATTGACATGTTCGAATGTGGTCAGGAGACTAAAGACTGCTAAGTCTACTGTAATAAACACCTTTTTTTCCGTTCACCATTATGGTCGCTAATTGTGATTTCCATTACTGCAAGAACTTGATTTTAGCATAAGTAATATATTTGTCTGTCGCATGCAGGCTCTTTTTAAGGCCAGATTTGAGCAAGCTCTTGAATCTCAAAAGTTAAACATAAAGCAAATAGAGCAGAAGCTCAGGCGGATGGGTGTAAATCCTGAGGATCCCACTGCCATGGCCAGCATCCAGAGAGTTGCTTCAACATTCTTCAATGCTATTGACAAGAAAGAAGGAAGCCCTTATGTTTTTCATGAAGGCAAACTGTCGGCTAAAGAAAATGTCCAAGATTTGGAAGAGCCAGAGCCTTCTACGGATAGTGACCAGGAAGAGCTAGACCGATTCATTGCTGAGATAGAAGATGCTGCAGATAAAGAATACGAGGCTGAAGAGGCAAAAGAAAAAGAAGAATTTGGCAGAATTAGGTACCGGAACAGAGAAGAATTTGGAGGAAGATATAGAAAATTTGATGCCCCTGGAAATGATGATTATGATGGTGAGATTAGAGGCTCAAGGTTTCGACAGACTGCACTTGCTAAGCAGCAGGCTAGTGATAGTGATGTTGAAAACAACACATTCTCTGATGGTGACGACGATGATGATTATGATGGGAAGTGGCCTGCCGATCCAGACAGTAATTCTGATGAATCTAGCGAGGCTAAAGGCAGGTTCAAGGCGAGTAAGGCGGAGAAGGAAAAAAGAAGTAATTTTGGCAGGAGCCAAGTTAATGGAAGTTTTAATACACACGAAGGTAAATTTAGGAAAAATTCAAGCATAGTTGATTCCGATTCAGAAAGTACGTTCAGCGATCTTGACAATGCGATGTGGGAGTCTGACGAGGAAGAAAATGAATCATCAGGACAGTTCAGTGGCAGTGGTAACTACAAGAGCAATAGTGGGGACAAGTACGCATATCACACGAAGAGGGACAATAGAAATGGTGTTAGGCATCATGGGGCTGGTGGTGACGACTCTGACCAAAATTGGGATAGATTTGATGTTCCAAAAAGTATGAAAGGGAAGCAAGGTGGGATTGGAAGAGTTGATATAAACCCACGGTCGATGAGTTTAGAATCTGGATCCGAAGATATAGCCATTGACTCAGAAAACAGGATGTGGCATTCAGATTCAGAGGAAGAGTTTAGCCACACTTGGAGGGTCAGTGGGCATGAAAAGAGGGAAAATGACTATAGGCATAAGAGAAGCCCAAAAGATGGAGATGAGGCATGGGACAGTGACTAGCCCGTTAAATTCATCATTCATTGTGGATTCTGTATGACAAGATGGCTTGAACACATAATCAGTCAAGAGTTAAAAATTATAATGGCACTAAGCCCTTCATGATTGGTTTATTCACTTGGTCCCTTGGTGGTAAAAAGCCGTTGTATTATACTCCTCATGTATGAACGCAGCATTTTTAAGGGGCTTGAGGTAGACGCTTGGAATATCTGAAAATAATATATTTTGAATGATCTTGACAGTGAAGGAATTGAACCGAAAAAGTTGACACAGATGTGGGCTTTTATTGTTTGTGGAAAATGAAGGAGCCCCCTCAATCACGCGTCAATGAGAGTTTAGTTTTGTGAAGTCAAGCGAGCGGGGGTCTGCAACTTGGAGAAGACGCGTCGTTTACTAGTAAAGACCCACTGTGAAGCTCAGACTTGTCCTGTTCTAATCTTATTTTGATTTCTCAAAATATGTTTCATGTTTCAGATTACTCTTTGAAATGTTCTTAAGGTAAATTTTGGAGACTTTTTGTCGTCAAATTAACTTTCCCCAATTTTGGTTAAAAAAAATGAACTTCCTCAAGCTATTCTAATACTGTCAAAAGAAAATGTTTAGTTAACAAATAAGGTAATTCTGAATTTTTTTTTTTTAAATGTGCGTATGCGCAAGTTTTCGTGATCGTCAATTTATGATTTGAACTTATTTAAAAAGAAGCGTCATTTAACGAAATTCTAGAAAAATAAAAAAAACTTTATAAATGATGTCACTTCACTCGAGTCATCACTTCAAAAGAACAACTATGGATGCTCTGGCTATATAAATATGTGTGTCTGTATCTATATCATTGAATTGATTGTAATTTACGTGGAGTATTATTTTGATTGAAACATTTAAAAATATAATCGATTATTAAAGAATTAATATTTAGAATGTTATTTTCAGGACTGAATTATCAGCACATGTTGAAACAAGAAGCGGGTGACACTTTCCAGGTATGAGAAAACCGGCAAATGGATTCCACGTAAGAGGTCATATAATTTAGGACGGTGAGAAAGACGCGTAATTATTGAATTTTGAATTTTCAAGGGTCGAGTTTCATATCAAATTTGCTACCAAAAAAAAAACGGAAAAAAAAGGCAAAGAAGAGACTCCGTAATTATCTGCCAGATATGCCCTCATCAATCAATGTCAATATGTTAATTTGCATATAGTAAAATCTTGTAAATATATGATGGCAAAATATTTATGGTAAATATATGCCCGGCAACAAAAATTTTGTAAATATATAAAAAAAATATTTAATATTTGTAGATTATAAAAAGTACGATTGGTTTGAAAAGCATAATGTTATCCAACAAAATAACGTCAAAAATTGAAGAACCATCCATCACCAAATATGGATAGGAACCAAATATTTAGTTTTTGCTAACTACTTGTATTCTTCTATTGGAAGTAATTCTGAAGCACTATCAAATACTCTTCTGGTCCGTAATATAATCTATTTAACTAACCTGATTAAATTAAAAAAGTTAGGTAAGTTAATTAATTATAAGAAATATGACATGTTTTTTTTCCTAAAATATCATAATCATTTTCTTTAATATCCTCACTCCCTCTTTTACCTAATTATAGTTGAGGGAGATCCATAAGAGTGATTTAGAAAAAATTGATAAATATGAGAAATATGTCTTATATTTAAGACTAAAATCAACTCGACAATTACGTCCTTATTAAGGACCAGAGGAGTACTAAATATGTTTATTTCTCTCAATAGGGATCTAAATCCTAATTTATTATATTATAAGAGACTAGTTTTTTTTACTAAACCGAACGACTAGTTAGCGAAAAATAAATATATACAGGAGAGACCGACTAACTCCTGTTGAATGGGCCTAACTGCATTCTTTGGTTAACCTTTTTCTGAACCTATCCGTCATTTAACTTTTTTAGTTTAAAATATTTATATTTTGATATTAAATATAAAAATAATAATTCCGACCATTAAATCATAAGCATAAGTTAAATTAAAAATACCAAACCAAAAAATCAAAATCATTAATTAAAAAGATAAATTTAAGCAGTCTAAATAGATTGTGGACCAAGGACTATTCCTTCCAAGATAGAAATCGAAGCTCACGACCAGGTCAAGCCAAGAGGATTATTAAATGATCATCCTACAGGAAAATGAAAGGTACAGATTTAGAGCTTAAAAATAATTTAATTATAATCATTCTTACAATTGACTAGTAAGATTAATATAAGAGTGACATATGGCATAAATGTTTATTTTCTTTTTAAAATTTAATTTTGTGGGTCTCATTGCTCCAACTATGAACTTCATTATCTATTAAGGACCAAACACAAGAGCTTAGTAAGGAAGCTCATATATTGAAAGTAAAATGTGTTTAAATTTTATCAAGCCATTAAAAAAAAAAAAAGGAGATGTGAGACTCATATATTGTGTGAAATTTGATTACACACTATCCATGACTCCAGAATTGCGTGCTTCGACATATTGATATTGAAATTGATGGATAAATATTAATTTTAAGAGTATATTATTCACAAAACCAATATCCATAATTTCAAAATTTAATTAAGAGGCATATTTCGTGTAAGTATAATAAAATTATGTTGTGGAATTTACAAACAATTGAAGGCGATAAATGGAAACAGGATGATCGAAACTGGGGGATTTAGTGGAGATGGAAAGGTTGGACCTGGAAAAGTCAACAAAATAATTAAACGGAGCATTCAAGATTGAGACAGTCACTTGGTGGGAACTGGGAATCTTCTATCTCCATGCCCTTCCTTTCCCTATCTGTGATATTATTTAAGTTGCATTATAAAATTTTAGGAGTTATTAAAAAAAAATTTTTCCTGAAATGCTACATATAAATGATTAAAATGCATTAAAATTGAAGTTAAAAACACGGCGACATACATAAACTGATATATGAATATTTAAATAAAATAAAAAAGGTTCAAACAGTCGAAGTCCCACTATGGCACTTTCCTCTCTTGTCTTGTCTGGTTGGCCCACCAGGTTTCGATTCTTGCAAAGTCTTGCAGTACCACACGTCATTCTGCCCTCCTTGTATTTCCCAACTTCATCAGGTCAACCCCATCCTCCCTCCACACACCACTTTTCACCATTTTTTACTCATTTATTGTATTACCCAAGTTGACTAATCAAACTTAAGTATGTCCCTTTTATGATTTATCTCTTCTGGACTTGGAATCCATCAAAGTTTTTTTTTTTTTCCCGTTTTAACCAACAAAATTACAGAGCCAGAAATATGGGGCAAAGATAACAATAAGAAGAAACAAGTCCCACCAGAAAAGCTTGGGAATTGCCATGCTGCAATTAACCAAATTAGGGTTTATAATATACCCAAAGACAAGGTACAAAACAGAAGGACTGCAAAAAAGAGGCAAGAGCTATACAGCTCAGATTCCATCTTTACATGGCTTAGATTTTGTAACCCCAGTTTTTGAAATTAGATACGCTTCCTGTCATATTCCCAAAATTCCAGAGCTAAACAATGAAGTAGAGTTCCTTGGTATACAAGTTTCCTTGTGCTTGACCTCATCACGGCCCTGAATCATTCAATGGAGTTCCTTTCTGGCGTAAAGGGCACTGATTTGCAGCCACATTTCGAGTTTTCAAACTCAGCCACTTTCTCTCCTGCAGTTTCCAGGCAACAAATACTCGTATTTCTCTGCATTATTCAGTAAAAATGCAGGAAGGTGCACTGCTGAATAAGAATGAGGTATAGGCCCCAACTTCCCAATGATCTCCTTGAATGTGTACTCCTCAGGAAGCATATCAAATAGGTCTGCCCCTTTGCAAATCACGTCCTGTATCCGGCTAGGATTCAGGTAGTGCGCGAACCTCACCCGGTCGGTGTGGCTGTAAGCTTTCATCTTAAATATGAACTCACTGATATGGCGGAAACAAAAGCTACAATGCCAACCAGCATCTGATAAGAGGACATCAGATTGCCTATAGTGAGCATACCTTGTCTTGCCCGTCTGATATCTGTGAACTGATGCTCTCCAACTTTCATTGTCCAAGAAGAACTCGAAAGAATACAAGTAGTTCCTCAATTGAAGATGAAGAACTTGGGGGATATCATCACACCACCTCAAGAGATTAATGGTATGAGCACTAGGAATCTCATCAACATCAGACATTATCAGAAGATCATCATCTTCTATACCTGCAATTCTCAGAAGCTGGTCTAGTGCAACTCTTTGATATGCTTCTTCAATGAAAGGGTTTTCTCCTTTCTTGAATCTCCCTCCAATAACCCCATATGTCAGTCTGGACTCAACAAACTCGAACTTGTCCCTATTGATTGAGAAAAACAATGGCTTGGGCAATCCAGTGAAGGTTGAGTTTGATTCCAGGAGTATATACTCTGTCACATATGGGTACAATTCCTTCCAACGAATAGTAAGCATATCGACTTCATTGTTGAACAAAAACAGCATCAAAGACTCGTCTTGGTGATTCACGAACTCCCCATCCATGAAGTCTGCAAAGATTCTCCATCGATACGTTCTCATGATAATAGTGAGGAATTTGACCGAAGGGCTTTGGAGGAGATTCCCAAAGTGGTCTCAGAAAGTATGTGATCTTCTGCCCATGTAAATAGATCCCAAAGATGCCTAGTGGGATGACAACAAAGAAAAATATGCAAGTCTTGAAGTCCAACGCCCGCAAAACACGCCCGACCCTTGACATACTCAATGCTGAGTGAGTTTCCTGCTGCACGGTAAACAGAAATCTAATCAATTCACATGCTTGGTCGCCACATAATGTCATAGAACCAATGACAGACTAATGTTAAAGTATGTGATCTTCTGCCCATGTAAATAGATCCCAAAGATGCCTAGTGGGATGACAACAAAGAAAAATATGCAAGTCTTGAAGTCCAACGCCCGCAAAACACGCCCGACCCTTGACATACTCAATGCTGAGTGAGTTTCCTGCTGCACGGTAAACAGAAATCTAATCAATTCACATGCTTGGTCGCACATAATGTCATAGAACAATGACAGACTAATGTTATCTGCAACTATGTCACAAAAAGCATCATTTCTCGACTTTTTCATTAAGGAATAGTTTGTGGGACACCAGAGAATTGGGATTCAAAATGGCGCATACACAGACAACAAGAACAAAGTTTATAACTACTGTAATTCTGCAAAGCAAACGTGCCTTTCAGTCCAGAAAGAGAGAAGGCACAGGG